ATGTGCTACTTCAGCATGACGCTCAGCAGAGCTCCGGTCACGAAGGACCTGATGAAGGCTTAAATTGTACACTTAAGGATCGTGGGGCAGTAACTCAACTCGGTCCATAACCTAATGCATTGTAAGCTGCAACTCGGGTGTAGTAGGTGTTGCCGAGCGTAAGTCCCTTAATAATATACTCATATGGAACCGGTGTCGTATTTGCGTCTATAATGACCACGTCACAATTCGTTCTTCCACTGACTAATATGTTGTTGACAGTTGAGGGACAATCTGCGGCTCCGTTTAGACCTCCCATTTGAACCCCCTGCGGTCGCATGAAGAGTTACTTTGCCGCCTACGGCATATAGGCGACTAGTGTACGTCAATGTTGGCATGACGCCGAGCTCACTTAAAAACGTGACGATCCGCGTGCCTTGATTCTTGATCGTACAGCCATCGCGTGTCACTGTCACGTTGCCCACGTTTGGTAAATTTTTCAATTTTTGTGTCATCGTATCTTGTGAAGTGGGAGCGCTCAATGCAGATGTGCTGTACATACCTTGAAAAGGACACAACGTGCACGAAGTCCTGTCAAGTATTAAGACGGTCGAACCAGCAACACTCCCACTAGAATCTGACGCTGTCTTGATTGTTTAAATCTGGGCAATGGTGCAAGATATCGATCCACTCTGCAAGAAATTTAGTCACAGGCGAACCACCTCCACCGCTTACATCTAATAATACTTCGCAGGTGGCAGAAAAGATAACGCAATGAACTGACGCGCAAATCGGGATTTTCCTCGTCGTCAGGCGTTAGCACACTACAAATAACATATGGAGACGGCGGGGTATCGCTGGAAGTGATTGGAGCAACCGACATCCTATCGCTAGGAGGTCCAAAGCCCAACGAGTTGTGCGCAGTAATACGTTTATGCGTCAAAACTCACGTCTCGAGACCAGTCGTCAGTTGATACTCGTAGGTTTCTTGGGCATCTAATGCAAGTGTCTTTCCCGTAAAGTCTGCACTGCACATCCAAATCCGCTGATGACAGTAATTGAAGATGCAGTTGGAGCCGAAGTCGCTACTTGAAATTGACCCAGCGCCTACAACTATCCAGTCGTTGGTAGCGAAACGAAGCTTGACCAAGGCCTCCACTCACTGACAGCGTGTTAGTAGCCGTCACGAGATCTGTTATGCAGCTGGCACACAGCTGACGAGTCAGTCAGTGTGA